GTGTGTGTGTGTGTGTGTGTGTGTGTGTGTGTGTGTGTGTGTGTGTGTGTGTGTGTGTGTGTGTGTGTGTGTGTGTGTGTGTGTGTCAAAGACCAGCCACTGAGTTCATGTCAGAGACAGTCCCTGTTCCCCTTACTAGAGAACCCACTTGGAGACTGAGCTGCCATGGGCTACATCTGTGCAGGGGTTCTAGGTTATCTCCATGCATGGTCCCTGGTTGGAGTATCAGTCTCAGAAAAGACCCCTGTGTCCAGATATTTTGGTTCTGTTGCTCTCCTTGTGGAGCTCCTGTCCTCTCCAGGTCTTACTAACTCCTCCTTCTTTCATATGATTCCCTGCACTCTGCCCAAAGTTTGGCTATGATTCTCAGCATCTGCTTTGATACACTGCTAGGTAGAGTCTTTCAGAGGCGCTCTATGGGAGGCTCCTGTCCTGTTTCTTGTTTTCTCCTTCTTCCAATGTCCATCCCATTTGTCTTTCTAAGTAAGGATTGATCATCTTACCCCGGGTCCTCCTTGTTTAGCTTCTTTAGGTGTACAGATTTTAGTATGTTTATCCTATCTTATAGGTCTAATGACAAATTTTCAATAAAAGCTTGAACCACTGAGCCATCTCTCCAGTCCTGTGAGTTTGTTTTGAAAATGCCAAAACTTAAATTTCTAATAAAATAAGGATTTGGGATCTTCAGTTAGGCATACTGCACGAGAATTCTGGTAGGTGTGCAGCCCATAATGGCCTCGATATTTAAGACACTTTGCATGCTCCCAGTGTCATGCCTGTGCCTGCTTAGCTACGATGGTTTAGCATGATCACACAGGATCTAGCATTTCCAGCATTGACAGATGCTGTTATGTACCTTATCTTCTGACAGTAATCTGGTGGCTGGTTACTAAAGGCCAAGCTTCCTCATCTTGGATCTGAGTTCTGGTACTTTTGAGACAACCATGGAGAGGCTACATGTAGGTAACCCACTCAATGCATTCTCTGAAGCCGGTTTGTAGCCACCTTGCCCAGGCCTGAGGGTTCAGAAACTTTTATGCCCTGGTACATAGGGTTCCTTCAGGGTATTGTCTTTTCCCGTTTAGAACCATAAATAAATATTTGCTAACCTGTCATGCTGAAGAATGTCTAAGATGATCCCTACTCTAATTCCAGATATGAAAAAAATGATAAAACCCAATAAAATAGTTCTTATTTTCAGACAACAATTTACATTTTTGAAAAATGTTTAGGTAGCAGGAAGTGGCTGTGACAGCAATTGGTTAGAGGCTTGTTTTGATGGAGTCTTCACACCTTCCATATCAAATTCAGTTTTGGGGATAAAGCCATGGTTTCCACTTAGAAAAGAATTGTGGAAAAATTCATGTGTTCCTAGCAGGAAAAAAAAAATCACCATAAGTAGTCGGTAGCCTTTCCCATAGAGCGAATGTTCTTACTTGGTGGTGGTGGCTTAAGTGGAGAGGAGATGTGTGAATTCTACACTTAGCAAAAGTGATTGCTTAGTTCTTGCACTCGAGCCAGAAAATGTGGGTTTTATATTTTGCAATTTCTAGAATCTATTGAAATACTCTTAATGTTTTAAAATATAATCACTCATTGAAACCTGCCAAATGTTCATATGACATACACATTTTTTACAAATATGTTTTTAAATATCTGTTAATTATATCATTCAATTCTTCCAATAATAAAAGTACTTGCCTAATATGACTCTCATTCAGGCCCCCTTCCAGAAACATCAGATAAATTAACTCTGCGATGAGGTGAGGGCTCTTAGAGGCTGGTGCCCTTGTTACACTCTCATAAACTTCCTGAATTGAAGACAGTGAGAGATTAATCACTGGGCTAGGATGAGGCAAGGCGAGGGTGTGGCCTCAGGCACGCAGATTTTATGTTCAAAAGGCCCTACAGTTTTTGGAGACTTTATTTCAAGCCATCTCATGTTATTTTGAAAGACTTGCAGTGTGGCTAACTAATAAAAATAAAATGCTGGCTGAATCTCAGTTAAATCTCAAACAACATTTTACATATTTGCAGAATATTTCTCTTCTCTTTTTTTTTTTTTAATTTAGGTCCTTTACTTAGATTCTTTTTTTACTTTATTACATGTATTTTTTTAATTTTTTCTTTTTTTATTACACTTTATTCATTTTGTATCTCCCATAAGCCCCTCTGCCTCCCCTCCTGATCCCATTTATTTATTAGTGTAAGAGTGTGTGTGTGTGGAAACAAGACCTGCACACACATACTCACCCATCTATGCCACAATTCATATGAGGACGTTTAGAGGGCACCTGGGGGAGTGATTTGCTCCTTGACTTGTGCGGGTTCCAGGCAGGGATTAACTCAAGTGGTCAGAGTTGGCAGCAAGGGCCTTCACCCCTCCCCGAACTACCTCTTTGGCCCCATTTTCCCTTCTTTCTGCTGGTTCAGTATTTTTACTAAGTGTGTGTATGTCATGCATACATGTGTTCCTACCTGCTTATGAGTGTACACGCATGTGTCTACATTACTCTCCACCTTTTCTTTTCTTTCATTGTTTCTTTGTTTCTTTCCTTCTCTCCATTTTTCTTTTATCTTCTTTCTTTTTTATTTCTTTCTCTTTCTCTCTCTCTTTTCTTTCACTCTTTCTTTCCTTCCTTCTTTCTTTTTTCTTTCTCTTTCTTTCCTTCCTTCCTCCCTTCCTTCCTTCTTTCTTTTCTTTCTTTCTTTTGTTGAACCCGGGACTTCCTGTTCCTGCGTGAGTGAGGCTGTCCCACAAGCCGCAGGGATCCTCCCGTCTCTGTCTCCAGCTTCCACAGTGGTGGTATGCTACCACGCCCCATGTTCTATATGGTTGCAGGGGGTCTGAATGCTGGTCCTCAAGCTTTCGCTCTTGTCCTCATGAACCTGTCCCCAGCTCTGCTGGTTCTGGATATTTCAGGTTTTATTTTTTACTTTTAAGTATTGTCATGTCTCTCTTTACTCTGGCTCTTCCTGTGTATCTATTTTCTCCTTTTCTTTTTATTTCAAGTGTTGGGTATCAGATAATGAATACACTATCTTAATTACAGTGACTTGAATGAGATGGGTTGGCTTTTCTATTTAACCCGCATCTTCTTCATATCTCAGCCTACTGTCTGGGAGGTACCAGGAACCAGAGTGACTCAGTCACCAGGAGAGCGCCTGGGAGGAGGGGCTGCATGGGATCTAAAGAACTTGCCATCTCACCTCCTGCTGCATTGTTGGCTGCTTTGTGATGACGGCTCATGCTAGTGATTTAATTGTATGTTCTTTCACCTTTCCTTTCCAATGGGAGTCATTGTCCTTTTTCTCTTCACCTCACTATCAGGGTACTAATTATTAAAAATAAAGCAGAGCAAAGGTTACTTATTAATAAAAATAAAATTGTCATTTTTCCCACGGACAAGTTTTTCTCTATGGCTTCCTAATTCTTCAGTTATGCCTGCATGTTTAGCAAGCACATTGTCATTCAGAAGGAAGTTTTGCAAGTCTTTCCAGAGGTCACCTTCACTCCCTGCAAATTCCCAGCAGCTCTCTGTTTGCTTTAAGGCCTTCCATGCTAGGCTCTGATGGCTGCTTCTGGACGTGGCTCTAGCACTTGCGTTGCCTAGACTGCCTCTGTGGCTCCATTTGTGGAGGTTTATAAGCAGGTTCTACTTCTTATCTGTACCAGTCCATGTTTCTTTAGTGCAGGATGGGAGAGATGGGTGGATGTGTAGAAATAATTGTTCTTAGGTTTGCTGTGGCTTAAGGTCATGAGGTCCCATGCTTTTTCTTTTCTTCATTGTATAGCATCTTCAGTTTTTGTCCTTAGTTCTACATGGTCACCAAATCATACTTCTCAAAGCCAAGTCTTTTCATGGATGTATATAGGGGCAGGAAGAGGGCCTTTATCTTCTTAACTGCCCCCCTCGTGAATGTGTGTGTGTCTTTATTTTGTGTGTAGGTGCACTGGTGTTAAAATGCCTATGTGAAGGTTGGACGATAACCATGTGGGTGCCCTGGGATGAGCTCAGGTCATGGCTTGACAACAAGCACCTACACCCTCTGAACCATCTCACTGGCCCTTCTCTACTGTGTTATGTACATAACTTTACATGCATTTGCATCTTTTTTTGTTTGTTTGGTTTTGAGTGTTGATTTATTACTAAAGATCTGAATTCGGAGACAGAGAGGAAACATGTTTTATCTACATATTTTTTTTTGTAAACTCCGTCCATGGGAAAGGAGGCCAGCATCAGTTTCCGGCAGGCGGGACATTCTCGTGGAGGCACTGTAAGGCCCGGTCCGTCCACTTCATCTCCTGTTCTTTCACAGACTCCGTGGTGCCACCATTGTCTTGCTCAGGCTCGGGAAGCTCGCTCAGTGGAATCGCGACATCCTCGTATGGCAGCTTGTCTTCCCGCCAAGCGTCATCAATCAAATCTAAGATCCTTCCATCTCGCTGTACCTCACTGTCCATTTCCTGCAGCTTTGATCTTGTCTGGTCCACACCGCGTGCTATGGCTTCATGCATTTGCATCTTAAATATGTGAGAGTACACATATTGTGACTGCTGTTACAATAGTCACCTCACTGTATCCAAGGTTCCACATCTGTGGATTCAGCCAACTGTGGATTGAAGGTATTCAGGGGAAATGTGCATCCGTACTCAGCAAGTTCAAACCTTCTGCTTTGCCATTTTTCCCGCAAAGGTATAGCGTGACTACTCTTGCGTAGCACTGGCATTGTACGTCCATGGATGACCTAAGTAGCAGGGTGGCGTGTGCTACACGCAGACACTATCTCAGGGCTTTGGCATCTGTGCAAGGTCCCAGAACTCAAAGTACGTGGATGCCAAGGGAGGATTATACAATATGTCTCATTCTTCTGGGGACTGGCAAGGTGAAGATCAAAGTGGCAGCATATTCGCTAGCTGATGAGTGCCCCTCTCTGGCTCTTAGATGGTGCTGTTTCCAGGGGGTGGCCAGTGAGCTCTCTGAGCTCCTTCTGTCAGGACATTAGCTTCACTCAGGAGGAAACAGTCTTCATTCCCTAACCATCACACTGGTAATAAAAATTTCACCATACTGGAACCCCCAGGCTATTGTAGTTCACTTAAGTAAATAAAGACTGTTATGCTGACAAAAGAGTGAGGGAGCCATCTTGAGGCTGCTGTACTACTTGCCGTTTCCAACATACACACACACACACACACACACACAAACACACACACACACACAGAGAGAGAGAGAGAGAGAGAGAGAGAGGCACTTTACTTTCAGAATCGGGATTCCAGCCCTTGCTAGATCTGGAGAGGACTTGAATTTGAAAGCTAGGAGCAGCTTCTGTGTGAGCAGTTGTCTGTGGTCCAGCTGTGTGTCTGGGATGTCTGAGTCCCTTGTACAGAGGGTGCAGTGTTTGCACATATCACACAGCACCCTGATACTTAGGTCAACTCTACACGCTGCAGTGCCGAGCAGCTAAGTGGTGTCATAGGCAGCCTTGTATTTAAACAGAGCCGGTGATGTAGGCAGTGCACAGCCTGGGTGTGTCTCAGCCCAAGGTTCTTCCCTTGGATTGACTGAGATACACATACCAAACTGAGCACTCACTGCGGACTCAGCCTGCTGCAACCTTGTTACTAATTGGAATAGTCCCCCCACACCCCTGCTAGCTAGTTTCTTCCTTTATTTCCTCCTCTTTCTCTCTTGAAGTTTTGTCTTAGAAATTAGAGCCTTCAAGTTCTTCTGAGAAAACAAAGGAAGTACCTTTTCCAGCCCTACTGCTTATAGGGATCCTGGAAAACTGTTCAGGTTCTGCCTGCCAACCTACGGAGACAAGTTGAGACACTCACACAGCACACTGGCCAGCTCTGAGTAATACCTACGACAAACTAACTTCTCGCATCAAGCTATTATGAAGCATCTTCTGTTAGACTCCACAGTCTCATGCCAACAGGCAGACTCTAATTACGTTTACCAGAATGACTGAAGGGACTTAGGAATTCTCGGGCATCCCGTTGCTTTCTGCTGCATAGGCTTCCTTGATTCAGAATTAAAGGATAGCTTAAGGCTCTCTCCAGGAGAGGTGGAGTGGGAGCTTACCAGAAGCACAGCGACAGTTCTGTGTAAAAGCTGGAAAAATTAATAATGTGATAAAGCAGCAATTCTCAAGCTGTTGGTCATGACGCCTGGGGCGGGGGAGGAGGGTCATAGAAGACATATCCTGCATATCAGATGTTTACATTACGATTCATAACAGCGGCTGAATTAGGGTTATGAAGTAGCAATGAAATAATTTTACGGTTGGGGGTCACCACGACACAAGGAACTGTATTAAAGGGTCGCAGCACTAGGAAGGTTGAGAAGCACTATAAGAAAGAGAAACTGAACCAAATCTCTTTCCAGTCTCTCACTTTAAAATTAAAACAGAGGCTATGGCCCTATAAGGGCCATTCTTGTTTCTACTAAAGCAATATCCTTTGAACATTCTCCTATTTTCAACACTGTAAAACAGCTTGTACTTGTTTCTCTCTTTGCCCCTCCTTCCTCCTCTCCCTTCTTTTGTCCTTCCCTCCCTCCTGTTTGTAACTATGAGAGTTTCACATTCTACTTAAAATTACAGGAAGTTTTGTGAGTGGAGGAAAGGTTTGGATCAACCTCAGTAAGGAGAGTGTGGATGGGAGAGCATGAATAGAGATGGGCAGTGGCTGCAGTGGTTTTGTGAATTCACCTTGAGTCGCTCTGTGTTGATTACTCAGAGAGAAATCATTCACCTGGTGACAGCCGGCTCTCCTCATGCTGCCTTGTACTTTGTTTCCTGGGGACCAGACTGTTTACTGAGTGGAGTTTAGGCTAACCAGTCTGTAACTTTGAACTCTCCTCGAAGAGCCACACTTCTAAGCAAGACACTCCCACCGAGGCACTGTAGGTCATGTGTCAATTGAGGCAAGCCATCTGTAACTTTATCTGCTTCCCTTTTAACAGCAGGATGAAGCACAAAGGGAAGTGGAATTCTAAGAGAATTCTGCAGGTGCTGTGTTGGTTTTGCAAGGCTATCACTGCTGATTTTAATTAACTGTGACTATGGTCGATGATTTATCCTCGGGATGAACACCTGTGGAGTTCCTCAGTGGCTCCTTATTTGAAGTTCGTAGTTGGTATTCTTGAGTTCCTTTCAGTGCAATCAAAAGGATTTGAAAGTTAAGTTTTACAGATAGCGTGATTTAAATATAAAGTGCCCCTGGGCTCATGTTTTAGACACACAGTTCCCAGAAAGTAGTGTTGCTTAAGTTCCTGGTGGGCCAGATAAGCAACAAATACAACAAAGGAAATGGAAGTCTTTGGTTCAACTGCGGTTTACTCTTTCTCAGGGTGAGATATTTATAAGTGTGTGTTATTGGTGGAGATTGGGAGTGAATGAACAGCTTTAATTTTGGCATTTCGGTTCGCTCCATTGTGTCTGGTGGATATGATTTTCTCTCCTACAGTGTCTGATGTGATTGGCTCTCTAGTTCATCCTTCAGTGCACGATTGGCTCATGGCCAGCATGCGTATGGTTGGGGCGCTCAGGCTTAGCCTTGTGGGTCTTGTTTCTACTAAAGCAATATCCGGTCCTCACATTGAGTGAGGGGTGTAGTGTGCCATTATTACTCTGATCCGACAGCTTCCTTTCCAACTGTGTCAATACCTGAAATATAAGAGGCTTTGAGAAATATCTGTGTAATATGTAATAAATATTTTTAATAAGGATTTCACAACACTTTAATTTTCTTTTTCTTTTTGTACTTAAAGTGTCCATTTGTTTGTTTGTTTTTATTGTTTTGTTTGTTCACCATTTGATACATGTACATTGTGTATTCTGATCCTGCTCTTCCTTCATCCTATTTATTGCTCCCTCCTTCCAAGCAGCTGAGATTACACAAGTGCACCTCTATGCCTAGACTAGAATGGGCTTTCCAAGAATCAGTGACACTCTGTGACTAAATAGGATAGTAAAATCAACATATACTGTAGAATGCTTTGGCACTTACGTTCCCCCATTAATGTTGGCTACTAATAACGCATATGAAAAGGAATCAGAGAAGGAGGCATTTTAAAGGAAGACCATACTCCTAAGTCTTACGGGAAACATGGAATCCTGAAAAGGCACACTACTTTGAAATCGGAAATGAAGACTGAATTAGAAGAAAATTAAGTAGAAGAATGAAAGATAGAAAGTAAACACCATGAAAAACACCATGTTGATAGATAGCATCAGACCTCCCTATTCCTTTTGAGGGCTTCTGAACTGTTGTTTGATTTTAGTGGGAAAGCATTACAAACATGAAGCAAGTTATTGGCAACAAATTTGGTTTACTCACCAACGGCCAATTCCACCTCACATTTACTCAATATGGTTGATCTTTCTTGATTCTTCTTACATGAAGTTAACTTGAGACTTGTGTACAAAGTTATTGTCCCACAAAAGCTGCTATTACAGAGGTTGTCAGCTCTAGGATGTATCCAGGAAGCCCTTGGGTTCCATGTCAGTATTTCACACTTGATGAAAAGGCACCGCAACAGCAAGTGGTAAGATACATCAGGTGACTCTCTCACCCTCACAGGCTCTTGTCAGGCAAGATAGACCAGACCACTGTGCATGAAGCTACAAGAGAGAAGGCAGCCACCTGGCTGGTAGCGGAGGAAGAAGGGACCTTCCATTCTTTCACACATTTGTAGTTTATCTTCGTTATTTATTGCTTCATATCAAACCAATACAACTTTAAAATTAATTTAAAAGTTATTTCCTTTTGAGAACTTCACACAAGAGCAAGGCATTTATCTCAATCCCACTCTTCCCTCCTGACTCTAATTCCTCCCATGTTGTCTTAGGTTTCTTTTGCTGTGATAAACACTGAGACAAAAAGAAAACAAAAAACAAACAAACAAACAAAAAAAACCATGGTAGGATGTGTTTATTTGCCTTACAGGTAATAGTATGTCATTGAGGCAGAGGCCATGAAAGAATGCTACTCACTGGCTTCCTGCCCTGGCTTACTCGGTGTACTTTCTTACGTACCCCAGGACCACCTGCCCTTCGATGGCACTTCCCACAGTAGGCTGGACCTTCCTTCATCAGTTATCAATCAAGAAAATGCCTCCCCCCATCCCCAAAGCTTGTCTGCTGGACATTTTATCAGTTGATGTTTCCTTTTCTCAAACCACTCTAGCTTGTGTCAAATTGACAAAAACTAGCACCCATGTCCTCCAATTCCCTTCATATATACACATTATATACAACATACTGCAGTCCCACACATACATGTGTGTGTGTCTGTCCCACACAGACACGCACACGTATCCTCCTGCAGCCACATGTACCGCACACACTTCTATATCCTACTGCAGCCACATGTACCGCACACAC